ACAAAAGCAAGAAAAACAGTTAGGAAGCACATTCAAAACTGAGATCATGGTGGCTTGGACTAAGATAGTAGCAGGGAGGTGGTAAGGAGTGATCCAACTCTGGGTATATTTTGATGTACCCAGATATATACTCAGGTATATATTTATCAGCAGAACTCAGTGAAGATTGGATTTGTGGTGTATAAAGAGTTAAGGGTGGTTTAGTCAAGTTTTTGTTCTGAGAATTTGGAAGGATAGGGTTGCTGTTTACCAATATGGGAAAGAAAGAGAAGATTTGAGAGAAGAAAGATTGGGAGTTTACTTTCAGAAATGTTAAGTTGAGATGCCTTGTAAATACCACATGGAGAGGCTCCATGGGCAACTGGATTTATGAGGCAAGAACTCACAGGTGAGGTCAGGGCTAGAGGATATATGATTATGAAGGCATCCAAAGTCACAAGACAGGAAAAGCTCACCAGCCTAGAGAAGTTAGATGCAGAAGAGTCCATGGTCAAATTCTGGGGCACGTTAATGTTTCTAGGCCATGGGAATAAAGGGGAGGAGGGATGGGAGAATGAGAAGGTAAGACCAGAGGGGTAAGGAGAGAATGAGAAGAGAACAGTGTCCTGGTGTCCTGGAAGTATTTTAAGGAGGAGGGAGAAATAAACTGGGTTAGGTGCCACTGACAGAACAAGTAAACATATTGCGTCCTGATCATTGGCTTTAGCAACATGTGGTCACTAGTGACCTCACAGGAGCCTGCATGGAACGTGTTCAAGAAAGAACAAGAATGGGAAGAGTAAAATTAGAGATGTCTAATAGAATCTATCTTTTGAAGTGCTTTGCTGCCAAGGGAAATGAAGGATTGGGGTATTACCAAGAGGGGATATGGCATCCAGAGGCTTTTTTATCTGCTGGTGGGAGTTATCTATTAATGTGGGAGGACTTGATGAAGAAAGAGAGACAGGACAATAGCTGAAACTGTTCTTAAAAAGGCAAGATGGGCTAGATTGTTGTATACTAGTAGAGGGTTTGCTCTTACGTAAGATGATAGTTCATTCATAGAACCAGGAGGGAGGTGGACTCCTTGTGCACAGGTGCATAAATCACCGCATCTGGGTCATGCTTGCATATTTAATGACCAATAGCAGAGCTTTACAGTGGCTCCAAGCCCCCCATGTTTGTGGAACTTACAGCCCACAAAAACTTTTGCATATCTATTGCTGTGGTCACTAAGCCATCTCAGCTGACAATGGTTTCTAACTCTAAAATTGAACATGACATTATTTCAATGAATAACTAACTTACATTTGGATTAGTAATAGCCAATATTTACTGAATCCTCTGCAAAATCTCTGTAAAACACTCACCACACCTATGAAGTTGGGACTGTTACTAACCTCCAGTTCACAGTTGAGGAAACTGAGCCTAAGAGAAAAATAAAAAACTTGTTCAAGAGCATGAATTGACTCAACTTACTGCTTTCTGACACTGCAATTCACTCTTTAACTATAGACTGAACTGCTTTGTGGGAGCAGCTGGGTCTATAAAATGTGTAAGTTCTGAATTTAGTAAATTAACCATTGGACATGGTTTGTTTGTTTTTGTAATGTGAGTTGAAAATGCTTTTGATAACTTTGAGCATCTACTCACCATTCTCATTCCCCTGAAAAGACCCAGAATTTAAGACCCTTTTACAGAAATTATTGATGCTACATTAGAGCAAACTTGGTTGACTGGCTGCGCGTAGGTAGAACATTATCTTTTGTGTGGAGTTCTCTTTTATAAGATCTTAAATTAGAAATTGACTGCAAGATGTTCAATCTCTCTGAAGTGAGTGAGAGTTTAGGAGCCAGGTCTTCAGAGTCAAAAATGATCAGAATTCTAAGAAAAAAGGTGGTACATATACATGATGGAATATTACACAGCCATAAAGAAGGACAAAATTATGGACTTCACAGCAACTTGGATGGATTTAGAATCTAAAATACTGAGTGATCTTTCCCAGAAACAAATAACTGAGTACCACATGTTCTCGCTCATGGACCCTGAACATTTATCATAATACTACATGGAAGGGATTGGCAATAGCAGGACACTGCCAGTGGTGGGGCAGGCATGTAACATCAATAAGGTTACCTGATCCCAAACCAGGCAAAGTGAGGACCAATAGGAAGCCCAAATTTCACCTGTACAATGACCACTTGTGTACCTAATCCTGAAATGTACCCCACAGCTTTAAAAGCAAGCAAACAAACAAGCAAATAGCCCCCAAATGATGAGAATTGGAATTTTCCTTTGGCTCCTTGTTTGCTGTGTGTCAGGCTTTCTAGATCTGCTTTCTCATTTATAAAATAGGGGCAGTAATATTTACCTACTGCGATAGTTGTACTAGGGATGATATCTTCTCAAGCACAAGTCACAGAGCCTGATGCTTTTTCTCTAACAGGTGGCAGGTGACTGAGTAGTTCCTTTGTCAATTCTGTTAACTGCTATCCAGGAGATGTTGTCCAAGGGGTTGTTAAGTGCATCTTTTCCCAGGTGACCTTAATTCCTAACTAAAAAATTAGTCACTCAGGGTTTAATTTCAGACATGTTTCTTATGTATACATTTTAGAATTATTTATTATTTAGCATCAGAGAACACAAAGCTTTATAGAAATACACCATCCCTATTTTGAGTACAAATTCAGAACATATTATCTGACAATGGAAAACCACAACTTCCCAGAGAATCTAGGATGTATGGATGTGTGGTTTACTGTAAGCTGAAAGCTCTGGGTATCCTCTGGGATATGTGGGTAAGCTCTGAGTATGTAGGGGTCTCCCTGCATTCTTCCTAAATGTTCTTGCTCTCTAGTCACTTAATCCAGGCATCAGTGTATTGTCTAGACTTCGGTTGTATGAATTCCCTTTGGGGGTGATAGAAAAGTTGTACATTGAAATTAAGCATTGCTTCCCCTTCCCTTGAAATAGTAAACCGATGGTTAGAGGAAGAGTTATGACTGAGATTATTGTTGTGGCCAGATGCTCATGTGCCTTGGGTATGCATCTTATACGTCAGTGTGTGTAGCAGCATGGACAAAGCAAAGGTTCCTAAATTAATACATATTAAGCAAATCCAACTGACAAGAAACCCTGGCATGCACAAATTCTTGTATTAGATGATATTAGGAATACTAAGTTGACTGGAGAGTCCTTGTCTTCAGGGAATTTATTGTTAATTTGGGTTAGGCTTTAACAGTCTGCATCCTAGTTCTTGATTCATCTCTTACTTTGGAAACTTTCCCCTCCATCACTCTGCACCTGTGACACTTGTGTTCATTCTCTGAAATTTTGCATTTTTTCTCTGAGCCAGAATTTACAGAAGTCTTCACCATGGATTTGGTTGTGAGGGAGACCAAATCTTTGTGTCTGTCCTTACCCTGATGCCTCGTTCAGCAGAAATTGTGCTGCCCTGCTACTAGTGCTAGTGCCAGGCTTCACTTCACTGTGCTGTGTTGTGGTCCAAGAGTGAGTGCTGTTTGCTGCATGCATTTAATAAAGAGGGATATTTTGTGTAAATACATTGATCATTGTCAGTGGCATAATTATGATAAACATGCACAGAACATTTCCATGTTGCAAAATGCCTTTATCTGTCTTCAGGTACTTTATACAAATTGAGGTATTTGAAAAGCAGGAAAATAACGCAAACATAGTGATTCTGTAAGGATACTTTAAGAGCATAGGTCTTAGATTCATGTATAGATCTTATGCTCTAAATACTTTAATGACAAAAACTTGCAGTTTCTATAGGTGAGTAGTATTGTGAATCTTATCATTTTTTTCAGAGTACTTTAATACATGATAGGACTAATTTGGGGCTAGAATTGTAAAAGTAGGAACTTTTAAATTCATGTTCTGAGATTTTCCTTTTCATGCCTTCTTTTTTTCATCCTTATTGCCCTCTGTGTTTTCTTCTCCAGTATCCATTGTCTTGTGGTCTCAAACCTATTTCTTGTAACGGTTCACTTAATGTCTTATCTTTTCCAAGAGGATTTGCATTTAATAGACACAATATTCATATTTGGCTGAGCCAGGGGAATTAAGTTCCAACTGTGAAATTCAGTTAACCTATAAGTGGTCACTGTGTGTTAAGGTGGGCCCCAAATATACTTTTCTATTCACATGGGTATCTGTCCCATGTAAGGAATAAGGTGCAAAATGAGGAGAATGCCATTCCTTCTTAACTAACCAGTACTGCATATTTGAGTTAAAGATTATTATTATTTTCCTCTTTACTCATTCTCTTCATTTTCTGAAAATGGGAATTTATGGAGCATGGCATGGTATAGTAGAATGAGTGTATGGGCTTTGAAGTACAACTTGGATTTATTCTGAGCTTCACAGTTGTTTGACCTCGGACATACACCACCCATGTCCCATCAATCTCAGTTTCCTCACCTGTGAAGTATGGTTGTTATGATAGAAAAAAATGTATATAAAATACAGCATTTATAATGATAGTGTATAAATTATAGGCTCATGTAGATGCAACATAAAGTAGCTATTGTAGTTTGTCTAAATTCTAGGATTTCTATATGAAAAAAAGGAAAACAATCAAAACAATTTTTTCCTACATGTAGCAACTTTTCTAAAAGTTTGTATCAGATGTTAGTTATGCCAGTAATTAATTAACTGGGGATATGTCTTGATTTTAAGCAAGCCAGATATAGTTTGTGGAAATTTGTTATATGTGTGTTATCAGATATATTAATGAGATGTGAATATTCACAATGTCAATAATTTTTTAAAATTAAAAAATGATTCATTGAACACAAGGCTACTTAAGTGCATTTGAGAAATGATTTGTGTTTTCAAAATTTAGTACGTATGAGCTGATTCAGGAATATATTTATTATGCAAATTGAGGCATGTTCTTATGAGGTAGGTGCTTTATTAAAGTTTGTGTTTTGTGTTATGTCCTCCAGTGTTTTCTTGTTGCATAGGGTTCTACAATTTTATTTTTCACCCCACAGATTCACCAATAAAGGGACATAGAGAGTATGAGCTGGTGACTCCAGTCAGCACAAATCTAGAAGGACACTATCTCTCCCATATTCTTTCTGCAAATCACAAAAAGAGGTCAACGAGGGACGTATCTTCTAGCCCTGAGCGATTGTTCTTTAACATCACAGCATTTGGAAAAGATTTTCATCTGCGACTCAAGCCCAACACTCAACTAGTAGCTCCTGGGGCTGTTGTGGAATGGCATGAGACATCTCTGGTGCCTGGGAATATAACAGACCCCATTAATGATCATCAACCAGGAAGTGCTACACAAAGAATCTGGAAAACAGAGCCTTTGCAGACCAACTGTGCTTATGTGGGTGACATCATGGACATTCCAGGAACCTCTGTTGCCATTAGCAACTGTGATGGTCTGGTAAGACTCCTTCCCTTTCGTGTGTATGTGTTTACAGATGCTGAGAGTGCAACATGGCTTCAGTATGGTTTGGAAGATAGAGGTGGAAAGGAAGCCTCATTGTTATACTTTAAGTTCAGGAAAAAGCATTAGGAAGGGTTCTACTGTCAAAGATGTGTGCTTTGGCTTAATTTGTGGCATGAAGTTAGCATCTTACAAAAAAACAAAAGACAATTATTTTAGAATTTTTTGTTTATGCCGTTACTTGTATTACATGGAGGATTTTATTTCCTTATTTCTTTCAAAGCCATCTGAAAACTTTCTAACGAAACTTAGATTCCTCCAAAATGACAGTATTTCACTCCTTATGTGAAAACTTTGAATATCTTCATAAAGAAAGTATTTTGAAAACATTCTTTAGCTGCCTCACAGAGTGCTAATGTGGGAAATGAGCAGATCCTCTGTCAGAATTTGTCCAAATAGCATTCTTGTTTGAACGTGAGATGTAGTTCTCTCGGTATGGTGGCTTTGATTATTTTCAAATAAAATACCTGTATGTTGCTTTTCAGTTTTGCAGTTGAGGCCAATAGTAATCAACCCTTCTTTACACACACTACTGATATGAAGTATTTTTATTTGTTGGTTGTTGTTTCTTTTAATCTCTAGTTTTTATTTAAAAATTGAGGCTGGGTTTGATGGCTCAGCCTGTAATCCCAGCACTTTGGGAGGCCGAGGCGAGTGTATTGTCTGAGCCTGTGGGTTCGAGACCAGTCCAGTCACCTTGGGAAGATCTCTTCTCTACAATAAAATCAAAAAATTAGCTGGGCATGGTAGCACATGCCTGTAGTTTTGGCGATTTGGAAGACTGAAGTGGAAGGATCGCTGGAGCCCAGCAGGTTGATGCTGGGGTGGCTGTGAGTGTGCCATTGCACTCTAGCCGGGCGACAGAGTGCAACTCCAATACACACACACACACACACACACACACACACAAATAAGTAAATAGATAAATAAAATTGTGTCAGTGTTTAAGCCACTTCCATATACAGTTGACTCAAGTCTTTGTTCAAAAAGAGCAACCGTTTTTATTTCTGTGCTTTTCAGGCCACTGTTCCTTGAAAGTTAAGAGTTATTTCTTTTGTTTTTGTCACTGCCTCTGAGAGTTCTCAAAATATACCTTACATTCCCAATTGTAATGATTCCACTGTGGCTGTTCCTCCCACAATACCTTGCCTGTTCTGCTATATCCTTTGCATGCATAGGCTCAACCCAATGGCATGATACCACATGTTTTACCCAGCAATGGTGAGTTACCTTGTTTGAGAGTTTATTTTTGCAGTTTTGTACTGACTTTTGATATTCTGTAGGGTTTTAAAAAAACTAGTGCAGAAAACTGTATAAGTCCTACACGTAGTGGGACCAGATCTCCGACATGAACTATATGAGTTTAGAATTCATACCTCACACTTTGTGCTAGCCCATCTTCTGGGGTGTGAAGGCATAAGGAATCTTTCCAATTCTTCTCTTTCTACATAAAAGCCTGAATGGACCTGCATTAAATTAAATCACTGAATTAAAAAAAGAAAATACTTTCTAGAAGACTAACAGGTTTGATTCAAGTTTTGACCAAGAGAGCTGTGATTCAATACTGATGTAAAAGGAAAGAAATTATATAAAGGTACTGTTTTTATAGCACTTTTGAGTAAAATATCTTGAGTATAAATACTAATTCAGGGTTGTTGTTAAATTTTATTTTTTTGAGTTGAAGTCTTGCTCTGTTGCCTAGGCTAGAGTGCAGTGATACCATCATAGCTCACTGCAGCCTCAATCATCTGGGATCAGACAATCCTTCTGCCTCAGCCTTCGAAGCAGTTGGGACTATAGGTGTACACCACCATACTCAACTACTTTTTAAATTTGTTTTTTGTAGAGATGAGATCTTGCTATGTTGCCCACAATGGTCTCAAACTCCTGGGCTCAAGCAATTCTCCTGCCTCAGCCTCCCAAAGTACTGAGATTACAGGCATGAGTTATGGTGCTTGGCTTGGTAAATTTTATAGCATAAAAATTATTTAATTTTTATTTCCTCTGTTAAAATTTGAAATTTGGGATATTGATTAATCTCATGTGATAGAAAGCCATTATCTTGGGAAGTTCTGGGGTTACAATTAAATTCAAGTTGTCCTAGTAAAAAGGACCACTTTATGGCATAAAAATATTACTGGGGAAATCTCTTCCTAGCAAACTATTGCTAAATCTTCGGAGAAGAGAATGCTTTTGAAGCCCTACCTGCACGGGGAGTTGAATCTCTTTGATTAGGTTAATTTGGGACTGGTAGAGAAGGTATTCCAGTGATCTGATTTTCTACATGTGTCCTCTGAACCTGTTGCACATAGACAGCAACCACAGGTATTTATTCTTCACTAAGTTGGAGGGTTTACAGCAAGACCCTCTCCACGAGTGAAATTTCTTGTCTCTTTTTCTTTTTTACTGACTTGTCAGGCACTATGTGAGTTTGAAATGGGCAGCACACCAGGCAGAATTAATTCCTATTAAACAGAATGCTTCTAATTGCATAAAAACAAATCAGCACTACATAGAGTGTACTACACAGACTAGGTTTGTGACAAGACAAATACCAACAGTGAGACTAAGTGTTTAGGAACTTTTATAGTAATTTGTCAGTTATAATGTTTCATTTTATTATTCTAATAATTTGTTTTTGCTATATTGTATTTTTATTGCATTGAATTATATTTACTTTATATGTACAAAAATATCAATTTGAAACTGATTGGGGAGAAAAGAAACTATTTCTTCACCACAGATAGTTTGACAAACAAGCAGGGACACCACATCAGAAACATGACTGAAATTAGCAGGTAAAGTCTACCTATTCCAAGTGACTATATGAAAGGCACTTTAACACAGGCTTTATTGAAGAGGGCAGAAAAATGTCTTGAGTGATGTATGCAGAGAGATAGTCTGGAATGCGATTTAGATATAGATATTTTTCAGTGGGTTTCTGAAATCAGAAAGATCTTCTGCACAAACAAATTGACACTGATTCTTACCCAGTGTGATCTAGAACATTCTGTTTCTGTCTAGCATTGACCCTCACCTGTTCTTTGTCACAATGATCACTTATGAGTGACTGATAATTCTTTACCAGTTACAGATTTATCCTTGCTCTAGACTGCCCTACATATAGGTGAGAATGATTGAGATATTCCATCACTGAATTATCTCCACTTTCTGACAGCATCAAATTTCGAGCAGTGTGGCAATTCTTTAGACCCTCATCAGAATTACACAACCAGAGTCTAGATCCTGTTACTAATAGTTTCTTTTGAACAGTCTCTGACTGAGATGCTCATGTTTTCCTCTGCTATATGTTCTCCCTCCCTGCAGCATGTAATAAACCCGGCTCATCAACTAAAGGTGTGTTTCTGGGGGTCTTTGGAAGGAGGACATTGGTGTGCTTTACTTCTCTGCTTCTCACCTCTGAAATGAGAGTCCAGCGGTTAGGAGTTCTGGCAATGGCAGGCATTTCACACACTTCTTGGTAGGAAGACACTTCTGGCTGGGAATCTCAGATGAAAATAGATTTCTTCCACAGACTTTTGGCATTGCCTCTGTTACACCATAAAATCTCCCCTGTGAGTAGTGGCAGCTCACAATCATATTTTGTGGTCTACAAATTTGCCAAAATAAAGGGATGTTTGGTTAGTAGGCTTTATGTCATGTGTTTCATAATATAAAGAAACTGGATTTTTCTAGATTTGTTAGAACAATATTGCCTTGCTAATTCTCCTGGACTGTCATCAGAGGCAACTGTTTTGGAGTGGAAGAACTGACTAGTTCGTGGTTCTCCTGGGTTACCCAGCTCAGTAATTTCCTTGTGGGCTGATTTTAAGATCAGGAGGTTTTATCTAGGACAGAGGTTTTCAACATTTTTTCACATTTGTAATTCTTCCTTCAAATGAAATCACTAGGGGTTATCTAATAAAACAGTATGCAAAATGGATAAATTCAGGAAAGGTCTGGTGAAAACATAGGTGGGGAAGATGCTCTTCTTCTTACCTTGTCCTCAGTCCGGACCACTATTGGACTCCCTGAGGCATCTAACAGAGATCTTTATTGGTAGGGCAGGAGTTCTTGAAAATTGAGGTTAACAATTTGAGAATCATAAACAGAATCTCTCTTCTAAAATATCTATTAGTTGCATCTGGTTAATATCAGAGGTACTTTATTTTTGTTAGATTTTGAGCAGGACCCAATAAAATCTTTGTGGGCAACTGAAAACTTGTAACAAAAACAGCCCTAGTTCCTTGCCTTAAGACTTTTGCTTTGGGATTTGATCCCTTCAAAAACATGTTCTTGCTATGCCTATTTTAGTAAGTCTAGCTGCAGAGGTACTTTTTTAAAAGTCTGTTTAAAAAAGTCTAATAAACCAGTGTATCTGTGATTGAGAACATTTGACTGGTGATTACAAGCTATGATACAACTCAATCTGGTAAATGAAATGTTTGATACTAAAAATAGGTACAAATTTGTAGTCATTTATAGTAGGTTTAGAAAAGAAGACTGAGGACTGATCTTGACATGTTGACATTTGCATATCTGCCTTCATGAGAAGAACTTGGTTTCTAAAGACTTGTGTCCTCCCACTTCTTCCTCACATGGAAGATGTCTATGAAAGGTGTTTTGTATGTAATTGATTGGACAGAGGGGACAGCTGTGCTTTCATGTCTTACATGCCAATTCATGGAACCTTGGAAGGTCTGAGGAGCAAAGGACTGAGGACTGAGGCTGGTTTTTACCTCCAGGTACCTATACTAGGCTATTGTAGCAATGCAGGATTAGGAGAAGCTCAAAGCTCTTATAAACTTTAATTTCCAGAGATAGGGGGAAAAAAAAAAAGCAGAGGGCATTGGCCCCTTTCAAAATGAAGAAAGGTGAGAAACCTCCAGTTTAATTAGTTGGGTAGAACCAGTACTGTGACATCATTGCTTCCTTCCTGGGACATGATCAAGCAGTGGTCCTGTACGAGCTGACAGAATTTACCTAGTTTTCTGTGTCTGCCTATGCCAGGTCTGAACTGTTGGATACATCATTCACCATGCTTCCTTTTCAAATAGATAGGCAGCCAG